TCTCTCTCTCTCTCTCTCTCTCTCTCTCTTTCCCTCTCACTCCCTCTCTCTCTTCTCTCTCTTTATCTCTCTCTTTCTTCTTCTTCATCTTCTCTCTCTCTCCTAAATTAGGCTACATTTAATCTACAAATACTGGATATTTTCAAAATATGTATAACGGGCATAAAACCTACAACCTGAGGACACCACAGGCCAACAAAAATATCCCAAACTCTTGATCAAAAAAGGGAAATTCTGCCCGAAAAATGTCTGCTCCACCAGCGAGGGGCGTGGCATCTGGCGCCTGCGGGATCGATGGTCCCCCGAGCAGTGGAGAGCCGCCTACTCATGGTCCGCGGTCTACTGAACTATCTTAATTTATGACAGAAATGAGAGGCCTCTTTAATGAATTTTCCGCACAGGCAGGCGCGTACGCAGGATTTTTTCAAGGGGGGGGGGGGGGTTTAACATTTATAAATCGGTCCGAAAATTTCGCAACGACCCAGCCAGCCGCTGAATAAGCGGGGGGGGGGGGGGGGGGGGGGGGGGGTAAGAGGTCACTTTTTTTTTCTTTTTTTTTGGTCTCGAAATTTGGAAATTTGACATTTTGCTCAGTTGGGGGGGGGGGGTAAGGTCACCTTTTTTAGGTTGGCCGTGGGCATAATTTTTTTTTATACAAAAAAAAAAAAAAAAAAATCAAAAAGGGGGGGGGGGGTTTAAGTTTTTTTAGGGGGGTTTACATACATAAAATTACCACAGGGGGGGGGGGGGTTAACCCCCAAACCCTCCCCCCTGCGTACGCGCCTGCGCACAGGTAAATGCCAAACTTGATTCTGTAATCTGTGAAATCAATGCCTTGAAATCAGACGTAGCTGCCAGCCTGCCACCAAAAGTACCGTTAGAGATGTAGAAATAAGCTTGGCAAACGCTATACGGAAAGGATAAGGGATTTTGAGACGCATGCTTTTCCTAACATGCAGAGTGACCTCCTCAAGCTCAATGAAGAAGTCGAGCAGACGCTCACTCTTCTCTTCTCAGTCTATTTTGTGTGTATAGCGCTTAGAGACTTCGGTGGTAAGCGCTTTATAAGTGACGTTTTTATTATTATTATTATTAGATTGTACCGAATGGTCATACGTTTTATGCTGCGCAAAGATTCAATCAGTTTAATTTTGGCCATCATAAGAAGAGGGTTTAATATTGATGTAGACAGTGACGTACGCAGGATTTTTTCAAGGGGGGGGGGGGGATGTTTTAACATTTTGAAATCGGGCCAAAAATTTCGCAACGACTCAGCCCGCCGCTGAATAAGCGGGGGGGGGGGGGGGGGGAGGGGGTAAGAGGACACTTTAAAAAAAAAATTAAAAAAAAAAAAATTAAAATAAAAAAAATACCAAAGGGGGGGGGGGGGGTGGGGGTTTCCTCCAAAATACACACATAAAAATACCAAAAAAGGGGGGGGGGGGTACGCGCCTGGATGTAGACAAATGCTCATATACTCTTTACGGCTCATTTTATGTATGTTATTACCAAAGACGATGTAATCATACAATGTGGAGCAACAGGGTATGAAACGATGAAACGGTTGGCTCAAGACCGAGGAACTTGGAAAGAAACTTGGAGAGACACTTGATATAGAATTTTGAATGGGTCACTAAACCTGTCATAAACTGACAGATCACTATTGATGATGATTACCAAAGAAGAAAAAAGCCAGTCAGTCATTCAATAGTGTCTGACAGTAAAGTCTAGCATGTAAACGGGTTTCCTTGCATAATTTAAATATTAGGACACTGCTAACGTTTAAATTTTACAGATAGGACATACATGACATATTCATAATTCCTGCAAAGTTCTACAGAATTTGAGGTTGGCTGCAAAGGGGACATAGTACCTTCAACGCACGGGATACCAAAATTGTTATATACATCACACTAACACTCTTTTTCATAACAATAAGATCTTAAAAATGGATGTATTATATTTGTATAATCTCGGTTGTTTAAAAAAAACCTTTAGGAGAAAGAAAAAAAATCAGTAACCAGAAAACCTGTTGCAAATCTTTTTTTTATTAAATGAAGTACACAAGTCCCCACTCGACAATCAGATCAATTTCATCTACCACAGACGAGAACCGTCACTGTTCAAAAAACTTTTATATATACCGGACCACAGCTATGGAAATCGTTGAATGATAACATTTAATCAGCTCCTACGATTTTTTCATTTAAACGTAGACTTAAACAATACCTTCTGGATAGATACTATAATTAAAACGGCAACATGTATAGAGAAAACAGCTTTTGGAACAATAATTAAAACAAATTAAAAGATAAACCTATTAGTAAGATAAGACCAAAACATTGAAAAAGTAATGCCCCCGTCCTTCATGCTTCATCTTCCACTTCCTCTATCTTTCTTCTCTCTTCCTCTCTCCCTCTCTCTCTCTCTTTCTCTCTTCTCTGCTAGAAAGGTTATACTTGTTATTATTTCCATTATCTGTATTTTTTTACATTCACCAATTTCAAAGACAACATTTTTGTTTTGTAGCGAGGGGGGGGGGGGGGGGGGGGGGTGTATGATTACCTAAACATTTGTATACATACATTTTCTAATTATATTACAGAACACTTGTAACTTTTTTTTATTTCCAAGGGGTCTATAAAATACAAGCCATGCTTTTTTGATAGACTCCTCCACTACGTTTTACTTCTGTGCCAATCTTAAATGATTCATTTGAATATTATTGTATAATCCTTTGTCGTATCTTTGGTTAATATAATGATATTGAATTTGTATATATTGCATATTCATTTGATTATGTTATATTATGTGGAAATAAAAAAGAAACTACCTTGAATCTCTCCCCCTCTCTCTTTCTTCTTCTTCCTCTCTCTCTCTTACTCTGATCTCTCCCACTCTGTCTCACTCTCCCCTCTCTCTGTCTCTCCTCTCTCCCCCTCTCTCCCCTCTCTCTCTCTCTTTCTCTCTCCATCTGTATCTCTCCCATCATAGCTTCGCCTTCTTGTCAAGATCTCTCACCTTTCAGAACATCGAATATCGTTTTGCAGTATGGGATACGGCGGGGCATGAAAAGGTAACTATGATTTTTTTCTTGTGAAGATTTATTGAAGAGAAGAGGGATTTTGTTGGTTAGCGATATCGGGAATTTTAGGTGTAAACTCATTTATCTAATACTTTATTGCAATCATCTTCAAATCTGTTTAAGAGACCCTGGAAAATATTTTCTTATCATTTTTTTTTCATCACTATATGAATGAAATTCTGTTTCATAACGCGGTGACCATTATTCTCTAAAGATCTGGCATCATTTTCTATTTAACTTTGGAATGACTTAGAATTAGAAAATATTCTCATCAAACGCGTATATGTGTACCTAATTGTCATAAAATATCTAAGTGGCATAATTTCTTATTGATCCACGGATAGCAGGAATTATTATACTGAGCTGTAAGTCCTGTAATAAATACTATAGACAATCTGCCATTACCAAACAACGTGTTATTTTATGTTCGCTTGATAATACCAGGAAAGAAGAAAACTGGGAATGAATAAACACTTATAAATCGAGTATTTGGTGTCATGTTCGTTACACATCAAAATTAATACATAATTTTATTTCATGTTTTCCTCATCTAAGGTTTATCCTAGCCTATCAGCATATTAACTGAATTTAACTTAACTTAAACTTATCTTAACTTTACCTAACTTAACTTATCCTAACTTAACTTATCTTCACTTAATTTAACTTAACCATTATCATGATTATTTAAACATATTTGTGGCTTACACCCAGTAAATAAGATCGATTGATCGATTTGTATTCAATTCAATTCAATTCAATTCAATTCAATTCATTTGTTTTTCCTCTTTCAATCGTTCATATTTACTATGATCGTACATTTTAACATATTCACATATTTATATACATATAGATCAATTTGCACAATACAATACATTACAAAAATAAACATGAAATTGAAAGGGAAGGAGGGCCAACTAAAACGCAGAGCTTGTAGGGTGTAAGGCCCCCTGTAAAATTTATTATCATGAATTATTATTTTATGAGAAAAAAACAAAAAGCAAACAATAATAACAATAACTGATTCAGTAATACAAAAAGAAATCACTTTTAAACGCAAAACATTGATAAATACATACATGTTTATAAAAAGAAACAATCAAAGTTGCATAAAGTCACACTAAAAATTATATTTGATTGGGGGATGCAATAGCCTAGTAACTATTCAGAAGAAAGCTTGTAAGTCTCCTTTTGAAAATGTGTATCGAATTACACTGTATAATATCATTTGAAAGAGAATTCCACAGTTTTGGACCTGTAAAAACAAATGTCTTTTGTGCAAGAGATGTTCTATTTAATGGTAGATGAAAAGAGCTCGCCTGACAAGTGAGGTAACTATGAATCGAATCATTTCTTACGAACATATCATTAAAAGGCAAAGGTAATTGTTTAGTGTTGAGCTTGTACATTAACTGTCCAAGCTGAAAAATATACAAGTCTTTAATTTTACAAATGTTATTATTCAGAAAAAGATTATTCGTGTGTGCCCGGAAATCTGCATTATTAATAATACGAATCGCTCTTTTTTGTAATATAAAGAGTCTATTAATTTGGGAAGTTGCTGCACTGCCCCAGGCAATAAGTCCGTAATTCAAGTAAAGAAGAATAAGCGTAGAATACAAGGATGGAAAAACAAGTCAGAAAAAATCTTGAAACCAGTGGGACTTGAACCTGCATCTACTGCTTACCGGGCAGCGACTCTACCACTAGCTAAGCAGTAGATGCAGGTTCAAGTCCCGCTGGTTCCAAGATTTGTTCTGACTTATTTTTAATACAGATCGATCAATCGATCTTATTTACTGGGTGTAAGCCACAAATATATTTAAATAATTGAAATTTCTCCCAGAAAGCATTACATATATATAGAAATTATCATGATTATCATCACCTGTTTATTTGTCTCGTAAAGTTTCGTGCCATGGCCCCTCTGGTGTACAGGTCTGCAGCCGCCGCACTCATCGTTTATGACATCACAGACCAGGTAAAAGAATATAGATTTCCTCTTAGGGTGACGCTAAGAGGTATCCCACCGGGGAGGGAAAATGTTGCCCCGACGCTGCATTAAAAATAATTCGATCCTTTCACTCTTTTTCTTCTTCTTCTTCTCCTTCTTCTTCTTCGTTTTCTTGTTATATTTCTTTTGATGGAAAATCGACATTCTTATGCGATGTAAGGGGTAAGGCTATTCAGTGCAAACAAGATACCAACGTAACATCATTGGGGGAGGGACAACCGCCCTAATGAAAAGTAGCAGCAAATGTCAAGGTCGTTTCTTTTTGCTTTCTTTTTATGGAAAAAACACATTTAGAATTCGTTCGATGAGGTTGATTACTGGATCTCAGAGCTAAGGAGTAATGGTCCTGAGGAAATCTTGATTTATGTGATTGGGAACAAAGTAGACCTCGAATCACGCCGTGTTGTCGACCGGGAAGTGGCAGAGAGTTACGCCCAAACCAAAGGAGTGTTTCACTTTCATTCCAGCGCCAAGACTGGCCAGGGTGTCGAAGAAATCTTCTATCATATCTGTAAGTATTTCGAGAAATGCCATTTGCCATTTCTGTATCGCCTATTCTTTGTATTTCCAGACCTATGCCCCGGGCGATTACACGTTGACATTTATCCTAATCGACGGCAAGCTAGCAAACGATTGCATATGCTATTTTCACAACAGTACTCTTGATAACATGTGGCCCAGTTGATCAATAAATGAAATCATTTTACATAATTTTAATCATATTAAATCATAGAGCGCCGTATGGCAGCCGTGCTAAAGCCAGGGTAATAATCGGGAGCGCCAGGAGGGTCAAATCTGACTGACATGAGCGCTGTACAAGAACCCATTATTATTATTATTATTATTATTATTATTATTATTATTATTATTATTATTATTATTATTATCTCGTCTCGTATTGTTCTTTCACATTTTGGGAATTTGGGAAACGACAAGGCAGAGGCGGATTTCCAGAAAATAGGGGAATCGGAGGAAAGATTAGATCTAGTCCATAACCCCAAGGAAGCGTCCCTGAGAGTGACTACCATTTTTCTTTGGGGTGGGAGGGGTTCTGTCCTTTCCTGTATCCGCTTATTTAAGCAAAAGGCAAACAATTGCCTTCTTCTCACCTTTAGATTTGATAAAGGTTCCTAAAAATATAAATTCTTAAAAACTTTTCAGTAAGTTAGTTTTAAAGAAAAAATTATACGTCTATGATGATGAAACATTTGCAAATAAAAGCTCACTGGTATTTGCCCCTTGACATTTTCTTCTTTTAAAATCAGTTATGTTCTTAACCATCCCCTTTCATTTCCTGTACTCCTAAACAGGTCAAGAAGATCTCAAGAAGAGTTCAATAAAAGAAACTGGATGCAAGAATCGTCAGAGTACGATCGATGTCTCAAACTCCACCAATTCCGATGGAAACAACGGCGGTCATCGCGGTCCATGTCGATGTCAGTAACATTTATCACATAATCAAACTAGATCGCAAAGGCTTTCTATAATCAACGTGAAAACAATTTCAGTAGCCTTTTACATCGCCTTTGAAATATGCGAACCTTTTATTTCGACCGAACATGATTTCTATACAGGTAATACAACAGGATATTGAAATTTCCCTTAAACTGATTAATCTCTTTGCAAACAGCTATTGTCAGACTTTATCAAAGCTTTCTGCATGCGTCAAGAAGAAATCTGATGTCATGGCTCAAGATTTACATGGAATTAAAACGAAAAAAACATTGCTTTTATCCATATTTTCTTAAGACTTCTTAAACTGCATTCTGCGAAATTATGCTCTGGCGACAATGATTATTGTTCCGCGCTAAATATTCTTCACTAACCGAATTCTTAATTTCTAACCAGCCTCACCCTAACATTATACGCCAAAAAATACCAGGCGCGTAGCCAGGGGGGCGGTGGGGGCGGTCGCCCCCCCCCCAAAACGCCGGCCAAAAAAAAGAGAGAGAGAGAAAGAGAAGAAAAAAAAGAAAGAGGACGTAGGAAGAAAAAGGGAAAAGGAGTCGAGAACGGTACAATGAATCGTCAAAGCTTCCGCGCTTCGCGCGTAAAGGGGGAAACTGAGTTCAAATTAAGAAATATGATTCGGGAAAGGTACAACGAATCGTCTTCTTTCTCTAATAATTTAATGAAACGTCAAAGCTTCGCGCGAGAGGGGGGGGGGGGAACAGAATTCAGACAAGGATTAAGAGTCGAGAAAGGTACAACGAATCGTCTTCTTTCTCTAATAATTTAATGAAACGTCAAAGCTTCGCGCGAGAGGGGGGGGGGGGGGGGGAACAGAATTCAGACAAGGATTAAGAGTCGAGAAAGGTACAACGAATCGTCTTCTTTCTCTAATAATTTAATGAAACGTCAAAGCTTCGCGTGAGAGAGGGGAGGGACTGAATACAGATAAGGATTAAGAGTCGAGAGAGGTACAACGACTCGGCTTCTTTCTCTAATAATTTAATGAAACGTCAAAGCTTCGCGTGAGAGAGGGGAGGGACTGAATACAGATAAGGATTAAGAGTCGAGAGAGGTACAACGACTCGGCTTCTTTCTCTAATAATTTAATGAAACGTCAAAGCTTCGCGCGAGAGAGGGGAGGGACTGAATTCAGACAAGGATTATCAGTCGAAAAAGGTACAACGAATCGTCTTCTTTCAAAGCTTCTGCGCTTCGCGCGGGAGGGGGGAAACTTCCCCCTCCCTGCACCCACCCCCCTAGGGAGCGCGCTTTGCGCGCTCTTTAAGTGATTCGCACGCTTTGCGTGCTCACTACCGCCCCCCTAAAATGAAATCCTGGCTACGCGCTTGAAAAATACCCGCATCCATTGTTCCCGGAACATAATGTCTTTCAAGATTTCTTGCCAATGAACAGTGCGATGTAAACTTACTTAGAATGGGAAAAATGCCCTATAGTAAATATAAATTGGGGGAGGGTGAATAGGAGGAGGAAGGTGGAAAAGAGAGGGGAGAGAGAGAGAGAGAGAGAGAGAGAGGGGGGGGGGGCAACATTGTCTTTTTTAATTTATTGTTTTTCATTATCATTTATTAGATGGATCGAGGAAGCAGTCAGTCTTCTATATTTAAGGAGATATTTATCATAATATACATAATCAGGATTGTTGCAGTGTATTCAATTTATTGGGTCTTGAAAGGGGTCGAAATTTCGTTAAAATTCTATTAATTTCATTTGACTTAAGCTAGAACATGACGTCATTTAGTTAATGACTGACTTTAAGTCTGTGAATAATGAGTTATGACATTGGGTATCCAGCAAATAAGGTATTGCCCAACGAACTACACGGCCTTTCAAGGTCCTAGAAATGTCAATATCGCAGAGGATACGGGGCTACACTCCTTTCCTACGGCTAGGGAGAATCCCCCACCTTTATGAGAACACATAAATAAGCAGGTGAAAGAGGGCGATGTTCCGTACTCTATATTTTGGAACGCTCTCTCTCTCTCTCTCTCTGTTCATGTTGTTGGAAACATTTCAGATAATGGGCTACAAGCCTTTAAAGGTAAAGACCAGTATTGGAAACGCCCCAATTTCAAGAAATGAAATGGAAGCTCTCATTACCAATCATGTGAAAGAATATGTTTTGATTAATACATGATGATAAAAAAATGTCGGGAAACCGCCTACTAATTCATATATTTGGTAAATTTGTTTCTCTCATGGTCTGTGAGAGATATAGGGTAGTCCCATATACATCTTTCTGTGTATAGTGCTTGTAACTTTATGAAGAATGGGCCAAATTTCTTATTATTTTGATGATTCCAGAACCTTGCAGATACTAGATGCTAGATGATCAACCTTTTCTGATCGATTCCACAACGTTTCTTTCACAATGCAATCGCATGACCATAACTGGTCTTTACCTTTAAAAGTAAAAGATATGGATACTCGCCTCCTTCTTTTTTTGTTGTTGCTTTTATTGCTTGTTGGTATGTTTGTTCTTTGTATCGCCTGTTTTGTAATCATTCAGTGATTCTGAGATGTAGTGGACCATATTGGCCCCCACCATAGTTTTCGGAGAGAGTCCACTGTTTCAGCACATTTCGTAAAATATTTGGTGAACCTATTGTTCATATTTTGCCAGTTTTAAAAGGTAAACATTACTTGGGTGTTCCAGGGAAAATCCACCACCTTACAACCCTTTTCTTTCCCTTTTTAAGTAACCAAATATAGAATGCATGTGGAGCCAGAGGCAAGTTCGGTTGCCCCTCCCTCATCCATCACGTGATTTTTATCAAGCATAATTCTGATTTGTACGTTGTTCATAGCCTCATAAGACCTGTGGTACAGCATAATCTATTCATCTAAATAAGTTGCATGTGCTTTTATAAATTAATTAATAATCAAGATTTCTCATCAAGTATAGTTTGATGTTTGTGATAGTTACACTATCGGATGGTAGATATAGGCATATATACATCCATTAATGATTTCAATTTAAGATGGCATGCTTAACCGAAATCTTTGTACCCTGTCTGTATCAATGATATATCTCTGTCAACGAATATTTTTGACAATGGAGACATGTAAATCCAATAAAAACATATTTATGATATATATTACCAATGATGACATTTTTTTCTTTCGTATTTCATTTTTTAGAAGGCATTATGGTATGGGTTCTTAATTGACAAGAATGAATCCAAAGATGGACTGTGATGTAGATACCGGGCACGATCGGGGGGGGGGGGAAGTAAACAAATGAAAAAGACTCAGAGAGAGAGAGAGAGAGAGAGAAGACGGAGGAGGAGAAGCGAAAGAGAAGCGAGAGGGAATGTGAAGTGGCAAGAAGATGAAAGACCCTTCCACATTGAGCCTTCCCATTTCATCCACCTAATTGTTCATCCTGTGGTTCAGTAGACTTTTTCTTTCCGGTTTGATATTGGTTAAGCCCTTATTCAATGTTAATATCAGCTCCTTTACATGCACATAAATATACGTATATATATATATATATATATATATATAGATATAGGAGTTGGAAGGTTACACTTTATTGGTACGAGTTATACAGACTCCTATATCTACATTTGCTCCTACAGTTGAGCACTGTCAGAAATTGCAGTTTACTAAACTTGCTTATATATTATATATATATATCGAGGGGTCAGTGACACAAGTACGTAAATCCATTTTGGCCATTTTGAGAAAAAGTGGTAATGTGTCACTGAGCACTTGGGCCTTAAGGAGTTAAGTCTATGTTTCACTAGCCATTGACTTTAATGGGGTGTTGGGTGGATTTTAGTCTTGTGTTTCTTGGAAAGCCCACATTTTTCTGAAAATTGTGATATCAAATACTCATTTTAGCAAAATATGGAGTTACGTCTTTGTGTCACTGAACCCTAGATATGTACTTTCTTTCATAAGCTCTAAAGGTCCGCGGTTCGAGTCTCGCCGCGGCACTAATCCTTTGGCAAGACATTGATCTACATTTTTGGCAAGACATTGATCTACATTTTCCACTCTCCATCCAGGTGTAAATGGGTACCTGATCTGCTTGAGCTCTAATTACTTTGGCAGCTCAGCTACAACCAGGGTAATATGTGTAAAGCTCCATGAGCATCAGAGCCTGGCGGATACCGGCGCTATATAAATATCCATATTATTTATTATTAATATGTATTTATTGTTTACAGTTGAGATGCAAATGAACATGTAGCTATAGATATGCAAAAAGAAACCCGAGGTTGCAAGCCAGCATGCATAATCCCAGGCAGTTCCCCCATAGTCAAGCATGGAGTAAAGATGTATGCTTCTCGCTCTCTGCAGGTTAGAGTGGCGCCTTGCCCTAGCCGCACAGGCTACCCGACAATGTAAATAATCTCATCTCATCATCAATTTTTATTATGGCGAAAACTATCCAATGACGAGGGAAACGCCATCAATCTCAACAACAACAATCAACGTGTATTCGTGCATTTTTTTTAGCACTGCCAGAAATAACCTAAAAAGATGGGTACGCGTTCATTCACAGATGGCTAGAACATTTCGGGGGGGGGGGGGGGGTAATTCCCATCCATGATATCTACCTTGAACTTACAGCTGTACCAGCCATATCCTCAACAACTTGCTGGATAGAGTACCGAAGTGCTAACGTCGTATTCGCTCCTCGTCTCGGCTATTGGCTCAGGGACTTCGCATGAATTTCACCGCGATATCATTCAAGCAACAGGCTGGAGCAGGAAAAATTCAATATTTGGCGCTGGTGTGATCACCAGGCACGGAGCCACGGGGGGGGGGGGGGGGCACATGCCCCCAAAAGAATTTCCAGGATCGGTTGAACTTTTTAGACCCCTCCCCAGGACGTCGATCAATTACATGTATATGCCCCCCAAACATCAAACTCTGGCTACGTGCCTGGTGATCACCACGTCATTGTTTAGCACTAAATTGTTTGGAACCAGCTACCTTGACAACTTAGCTAATATGACGTCATACTTCGGTACTCTATTGATCGTAGAGTAAAGGTTGGTTTTGAGTACATAAACAGGTTTACAAATCTGAAGATACATTTAGAACCTTTCAGTAATTTTCGCCTTGTAATTTATACTGCTTGGAAAATAATGTTCATATTTCGACCCATCACTGAGTGCGATCATAAACAGTTCGCAGGATCAATATTTATTTGAGGTTTGTTCCGTTTTCTGAGCAGCTTTAGAAATCCCCCAATTTAATTGGACTTTGACTCCAGCGTCTGAAAGCAAATGCTGTCAGTCTCTGGTCCGATCGTCTACGGAATATTATTGTCGCTAAAAATATGCCACAGAAGTCGATTAAAGTGTGCCTTCTTGGCGTAAGTATATCACACAGACAATCTTTTCGAGAGTGTTTTTGTTGCTATATTTGTCAATGAGCCCTTTGAACAATTTGAATTTGAAGCGCGCCTAATCTTTTTTTGTTTTTTGCATTTCCTTGATATTGATTGTAATTGGAGGAGTGTAATAAAATGAGGTGTTTAGGTATTATCTCAGTCAGGCTTATATATTATGTTATCAACCTCACAACGTGAATTTCCTACGAATAATATTTATGCCTGACTGACGTACGCATGGTACATGTTTGCTTAATCATTGAAAAGCACAAAATGTTATTATACTCGTTTACACCATGACGTTGGTTTGTAAAAACACAACGGTATATAAGACATTTCATGGTCCAACGTATTACCTGCGTTGAAAATATAAATCACATAACATCTTTACGTGCGCATGACTGTGCGAGGTTTGGGTAACAAAAGGGGACTTCCCCATTCCTGCGGGGTAACCCGCAGTCCTGTCCTGAAATGTTACTTAACTATGGCAGGATGTTCATGCCACTAGTTTCTCTAACCGGGGTAATATGATTGCAGGGCCCTCAGGGAGAACAGTATAAAAACTGATGAGGCTACCCTGGGTAAACAAGACATATTATTATTATTATTATTAACCATACCTGGCATTGGTCTCTCGAGGGACGTACAAACCATGGTCACAAATCTACACAATTTTCATTTGTTGGACAAAATATTATCTCAAGATCATAATTGAGAGACCAATGGTGAGAGCAACCAGTGGCATGAATGGCCTGTCATAGTTAAGGCCAACCTAAAGTCGATCTTAGTCTTTGAGGCTGTTCACACCGGCAGAGATAGCGTGGTCTTGCGCGCGCTAGACTCTGCGGTGTGGAAGGTACAACGTCGTTTCGGTCCGCCCAACAGCGAGCCACGGCGAGCCAAAACGGCGTGCCACTGGAGCACCTCTGTGAACACGCCCTTTGTGAAACATCCCCCCCCCCCCTGATCAAGCATGCGTGATTTCTAAAGCGTAACAATGGGATGCGTAACGTTCTACTTGACTTTGAAGTTCCTTGCTCCGAGGCGCTATTTAACTGCGGGGATTTCGGAGGCCAGGCACAATGTCACATTAAAAAAATTAACGGAAAAATTTCAGTGCAAATTATAAACTTTATATGGGGAAAAGTGCATCGAACAATTTGTCAAATTTTGTACTCCGACCTATTTATAATTTGTGTGCCAGAATTGGTAAAAATAAATTAGATCATGACAAAAATTCAATATTTTAGGAATTATTTTCGCATGTTTTAATGTCCCGTTATTTTAATCCACGATTTACAATCTTCACAACTTTAAGCTTGCTAATGCGTGCATTTTGGGTGATTTTATTTTTTTAGCAGTTGAACAAATGTATGAAATAACAAAACTTTGTGTTCGCTAGATCAACTCATTACACATTCAATATTGATGAGAAATCATTGAAAGGAACAGCGAACATTTGCTGAGATACCATTTTCTGATGAAGGATTTCTAAATCCTGATATTTCATGCGCTCTTTTATCTCACCATCTGGTCAACAGTTGCAGATTATAACTTTTCGGCGGCTTGGAGCATTGGGTCAAAGGAGAGCGGCTTGATTCCACTCCTTCTCTATCACCTCCCTGATCTGATATAGTTGGCTACACCTGTCGGGAGCAGCTAAGATTCCACTACGTATTCGTGTGACTTCGTGATGAAATTGTTTGAACATTTCAAAAAAAAAAGGGTTAATCTTTTCATTACAGCTTGCTCTGTAAAAGCAAATCTAATTGTTAATGAATACCATGTAATGTAGACATTATGATCGATCTCTGCACCCCTCCCTCTCTCCCTCTCTCTCTTAAAGACGCCTATAATGCCGTTTCGCTCCACAATTCCCTTTCTCAAGATTCTTGGAGCCCTACACTTCCTTACCACAATCATGATGATGATGTGTGTTTACTTTCATGTCATTTATTATAGACTACCTGGGTAGGGAAAACCAGTATAACCACACGATTCGTCCAGGGAAACTTTGATGAGAAATACGTCAGCACTATCGGGTAAGCTTCTACCCTCTTGACCACTTTCTCAATACAATACACAATGTCACTAATTTATTATTATACAATGAATCGTATTACAATAATTACCTACGGCATGAGCCTGGTCAAACATAGTCTGTTCAACGAGAATTTCGTTGTTGTACATGTCTGTACCAAATGCCGCTTTAAACATTGGCTGAATGGCCAATACGTTTTAAAGCATAACCTTTATTCTCAATAAGGTTTTTTCTTGGCTAATTTATTGAAATTATAGTAATGTCTTTATGAAACTAGTTAGAAGGAAGTAAGTCTAGAACAAAAATATGAATAGCAAAGTCCGACTCGTACCATTCGGGATATAAAAAAATGTGAGACGTTTCTCTTGAGTCTGAGGCTAACAAATATCATAGGGGTTTCACAAGCTTGTTATAATGTATACAGTCATTTTTAGTTTCACAACTATCAGAACAATGTACCTGTTACATCTTTCTTTTCAAGGACAAGACTATAATTTTTTTGCAAAAATCTTTAATTATGAATACAATACGCTGTATTTTCTTCCTAAGCATATGAATTAGTCTAGTCCTTACTGAAACAGACATTCGCTAATTAGCTATTTTTTGGTAGTTCGCATGTTGTTTTGGTCATAAAACTTTTCTGACTTACTCTCCCTTCCCCTCTCTCTCCTTCTGTCTCTTTTACTCTCTATTTCATATTTTCTCGATATATATATTTCTTCTCTCTCTCTCTCTTACTCTGATCTCTCTCTCTCTCTGCGTCTCACTCTCATCCCTCTTTCTCTCTCTCTCCTCTTTTCAACTTCCTCTTCCTCCCATCTCGTCATCTCTCTCTCTCTCCCTCTCTCTCTCTCTCTCTCTCTCTCTCTCCCTCTCCCATTATAGCGGCGCCTTCTTGTCAAGATCACTCTACTTTCAGAACATCGAATATAGTTTTGCATTATGGGATACGGCGGGGCAAGAAAGGGTAACTATGATTTTCTCTTGAAGATTTATTGAGGAGAAGAAGGATTTTGTTTGTCCGCTTTATCGGAAATCATAGGTGTAAAATCATCTGATTTTCATATCATGTTTTTCGTTGTTCACTAAATAAATGACATTCTGTTCCATAACAGCAAACAACAAAGAAATCGTCCCTCTTTCATAATGGGGCGACCATTATTCTCTAAATATCTGGCATCATATCTATTTAAATTTGTAATTATTTAAGAATTAGAATTAATATATGTGTTGGTGGCTATTTAACCTGACTGCTAAGAAAGCATAAACGCCTGTTGGTAAGCTACAGTTCCACTCCGAGGGACCTGGTAATGAGGATTAATGCCTTACCAAAGGGCACTGTCGCAACGACTTTGTTTCGAACCCGGTTCACCGGATTACGGGACCACTGCTCTATACCAACTGAGTATCGCGCTTTCGTATCAATAGGCAGCCATTTTGATGACAAACGAGTATAACGTGTATCTAAATGTCATATCTACATGACATAATTCTTATTGATTCACGAATAGCAGGAAATATAATAGTGAGCTAAAATGAAGACTATTGGCAATTTGCCATTACCAACAACGTGTTATTTTATGTTAACTTGATAAAACACAGGAAAGAAGAAGACAATTGTAAGTCGAGTATTTGGTCATTTGGTGTCATGTTCATTACACATAAAAATTTCATACAAATTTTACTTCATGTTTTGTCTCATCTAACTTAAAGTATAGGCTATTAGCGTAATTGAATTGAATTTAACTTACCATAACTTAAAATGATTCAACCTAACTTAACCTATCTTCACTTAATTTCACTTAGGCTAACCATTATTTTCATTTCAATTCAATTATTTCCACAATAACAGTAAATGAAAGTTACAAAGCTTACAAAGTCATTCCAATTGAAATATTAACAAACGAAAAATATACATAATGTGGTACTTGCAATGCAGTAAAAGTATACAATTGAGACTAATTGCTTGCTGTATTGCGGAGGAAACCTAGGAAAGCATGGCTTGTAATTTAGGTTCCCTGACATAAAATATCATAGTAACATAAAGTAGAAAATGCAAGGAAAAGAAAAGACGGGGAAAACTGGACAATACAAAACAAGAAAAATTGCATTCTGCAGCTATATCATGCACTATAAGCATCATGATTATCATCACCTGTTTATTTGTCTCGTACAGTTTCGTTCAATGGCCCCTCTGACGTACAGGTCTGCAGCCGCCGCACTCATCGTTTATGACATCACAAAGCAGGTAAAGGAATATAGATTTTTCTCTTAGGGTGACTGAAGCTAAGTGGTATCCCACCGGGGAGGGAATATGTTGCTGATAAATACAAAAATGTTTAGATCCTTTTACTCTTTTTTTTCCTCTTCACCTTCTTCTTCGTGGATTTTTTTCTTCAATTTCTTTTGATGAAAAATCGGCATTCTTGTGCGGTTGCGGGAGTAAGACTTTTTAATGCAAACACTGCATAAATACCAACGCAATATCGCATTCGGGGAGGGGCAACTGCCCAAATAAAAATAGCAGCAAATGTAAACAGATGTTTTTTTTTCCTCTTAAAAATAGGATTCCTTCGAAGATGTTGATTCCTGGATCTCAGAGCTGAGGAGCATGGGTCCTGAGGAAATCTTGATTTACGTGATTGGGAACAAAGTAGACCTCGAATCACGCCGTGTTGTCGACCGGGAAGTAGCAGAGAGATACGCCCAAACCAAAGGGGTGTTTCACTTTCATTCCAGCGCCAAGACTGGTCAGGGTATCGAAGATATCTTCTATCATATCTGTAAGTATTTCGAGAACATTTATATGCCATTTCTGTATCGCCTATTCTTTGTATTTCTAGACTAATGCTACGTTTACACTCAGTCAGCCGGTGAATAAGCGGGGGGGGGGGGGTGAGATCACTTTTTTTGTTTTTTCACCTAATTCGTGAGAATTAAAAAAAAAAAAAAAAATTATATTGACCCGTCAGCCCCCCCCCCGTGGATCCGCGCCTGCAGAGGATCCAGGCGGCGTCAAAGGGGGGGGGGGGGTAGCCAAATCTTAATACAAAATTTAGTGCCGACTTAGCCGGCCGGCGAATAAGCGGGGGGGGGGGCACTTTTGTTTTTTGTTTTATAAAGGTTAACTTTACGTTATCATCCTATTTTTTTTTTATCGTTTTGGGGGGCTGGGGGGGTGTTAGGGTTAGGGTTAGTGTTAGGGTTAAATCAAGACCTCTTTAAAACAAAAAAGCCCCAATCTGTGCCGCAGAAAAAAAATGACGCTTCCCGGCGGCCACGGCAATCACGTTTCAGGCCACCGTGGACATAACGGGATGGACGTGAGACAACGCGGGGGACGAAATGAGCAAACGTGCATGACAGGCCGTGATCGCCGTTGATGCCGGGCCAGATTTTTAAACTGTCAAAAGAATTGCCACGGCAGTCACGGTGTGGATTAGAAACCTGGTAGGCCGTTGTAAAACTGGATGAACGCAATGAAACGTGACAGTAAGTAATAGGCCGTAACAAAACTTTTCACGGTCCTAACAAGTTTTGTCACGCTCTGCATCGCTAGGTGCGCGTTTAGTCACGGTTGCTTCACGGTTGCTGCGCAGTTTGTCCCGTTTTGCCACGTTTTGCCACGGTTCTCACGGCAAGCTAGGATGTATGGTAGCCGTTTCGTCGCGTTCAATCACGGCGCGTTCCGGCGTGTGACGGTTTACGCTACATAGCGTTGCGTTCTATTATGTTCTGACATGGCGAGCGCGGTCTGGAGATTTAGAGATTTGGGTATCGGACATGTTACCCACTCCACAAACTTCATGATCCATATGCAACGATACTAGGCATCCACCAAGGCGAGGAGAGGGATACTGAAAAAAGAACCTTGTAGTTGTTGTACAAGGAGCCTGTGTTGGGTGGCTTGCAGATGACAATAATGCTTCCCGTCAAGAGCTCCCACCGCATGAGGCACATTCCACTTGTTTTCAAACTCATGGGCAAGGGCTCTCCACTCATCGGGCATCATAAGAACGGCTAACACTTCGTCCGTGTAGGCTTCCTCGATGGCAATGCACACTTCTGGCACCATATGGCAGATGTAGCGGAACGCATAGGAGAGTGACGAGGAATTGTACCCACTGCCCAGATGTCTCAGAGTCACTGACACCTTTAGTCCAGGTGGTAGTGCTGAGCGGAATTTCGTGTCTTGTCTCTCGATGGCTGGTGTTACTCTTTCCAGGATCTTATCGAAGAGCTCTGGAGGCATCCTCAGATAGTTCTGGAAGGCGTTGACATCTTCGGTGCGGAGCTCTCTGGTAAGAAATGTTGAGTAGTGGCCCAGCTGCTGCCTTCTGTCTTCCGATAGCCATTTGAGCACTCACGTGGATCTTGGCCTTCTCATCCGCCTTCTTCGCCTTCTTACTGCCTGCTGAACTCTGGCCCTCCCTCTTTGCAATTGCTGCCGGCATTCTTCTTGCTGACGCAAAGACTAGATGTTTGCACCCAGCAAACATGCAAACACAAAATCTTCTTCATCTAGGGCTTTCATGATGTTGTCGCGTACAATGATTGCTATTGCTTGGTAGGCCTTTTTACACCGTGGGCACAAACGTGCTCCAAAACTGTCCGGCGTCCACGTTTCATTCGTAGAAAGCCTGTCAGAACGTGAACCACTCGGCAGAACTTGATCAGAACGTGTTAAACGAGAGGGACCCCATCAGAACTTGACGGGCCGGGAGGGAACGTACTGGCATCCGTGGATACTGTCACAGATACTGTGATAGACCGTGAAAAAACTTGACAAGACCTAACAAAACTTGTCTACAAATTAAAAAAATGGCCAAAATCCCACGGCGCACTACGTTTCGGGCAAACGGGGCTGCCGTGGCCGCCGGGAACATAGTGTAAACGTACATGTAGCATTATACCCCGAGCGATTACACGTTGAAACTTATCCGAATCGACGGCAAGCTAGCAAACGATTGCATGTTATTTTCACAACAGTACTCTTGATAACATGGGGCCCAGTTGATCAATAAATTACAATATTTTACATAATTTTAATCACTATGATTTCGTCTCGTATTGCTCTTTCACATGAAGCAAATTTGGGAAACGACAAGGCAGAGGTGGATTTCCCAAAAATAGGGGAATCGGAGGAAAGATTAGATCTAGTCCATAACCCCAAGGAAGCGTCCCTGAGAGTGACTACCATTTTTCTTTGGAGTGGTAGGGGTTATGTCCTTTCCTGTATCCGCTTATTTAAGCAAAAGGCAAAACATTGCCTTCTTCTCACCCTTAGATTTGATTAAGGTTCCTAAAAATATTAGTTCTTAAGAAATTGTCAGTAAGTTAGTTTTAAAGAAAAAATATACGTCTATAATAACGAAACATTTGCAAATAAGAGCTCAATGGTATTTTCCCCTTGACATTTTCTTCTTTTAAAATCAGTTATGTTCTTAACTATCTCATTTCATCTCCTGTACTCCTAACAGGTCAAGAAGAGCTCAAGAAGAGTTCAATAAAAGAAACTGGATGCAAGAATCGTCAGAGTACGGTCGATGTCTCTAACTCTACCAATTCCGATGGAAACAACGGCGGTCATCGCGGTCGATGTCGATGTCAGATCACCTAATCAAACTAGATCGCAAAGGCTTTCTAAAATCAACGTGAAAACAAATTCAGTAGCCTTTTACATCGCCTTTGAAATATGCGAACCTTTTATTTCGACCATACATGATTTCTACAGTGTATACAGGCAATACAACAGGATATTGAAATTTCCCTTGAGCTGATTAATCTCTTTGCGAAAGCTATTATCAGAGTTATCAAAGCTCTTTGCATGCGTCAAGAAATAATCTGATGTCATGGCTTAAGATTTACATGAAATTAAAACGAACAAAACATTGCTATTATCCATATTTTCTTAAGACTTCTTAAACTGCATTCTGCGAAATTATGCTCTGGCGACAATGATTATTGTTCCGCGCTAAATATTCTTCACTAACCGAATTCTTAATTTCTAACCAGCCTCACCCTAACATTATACGTCAACAAATTCCCGCATCCATCGCTCCCGGAACATAATATCTTTCAAAATTCCTTGCCAATGAACATTGTGATGTAAACTTACTTAGAATGGGAAAAATGCCCTGAAGTAAATATAAATTGGGAGAGGGTGAATAGGAGGAGGAAGGTGGAAGAGAGAGGGGGAGAGAGAGGGAGAGAGCGGGGGGGGGGGCAACATTGTCTTTTTTTCTTCTTGTTTTTCATTATCATTTATGAGATGGATCGAGGAAGCAGTCAGTATTCTATATTTAAGGAGATATTTATCATAATATACATAATCAGGACTGTGGTACTGAAATAAAAGTTGCAGTGTATTCAATTTATTGGGTCCTGAAAGGGGTCAAAATTTCGTTAAAAATTCTATTAAAAAATTTCATTTGACTTAAGCTAGAACATGACGTCATTTAGTTAATGACTGACTTTAAGTCTGTGAATAATGAGTTATGATATTGGGTATCCATCAAATAAGGTATTGCCCAACGAACTACATGGCCTTTCAAGGTCCTAGAAATGTCAATATCGCAGAGGATACGGGGCTACACTCCTTTCCTACGGCTAGGGAGAATCCCCCACCTTTATGAGAACACATAAATAAGCAGGTGAAAGAGGGCGATGTTCCGTACTCTATATTTTGGAACGCTCTCTCTCTCTCTCTCTGTTCATGTTGTTGGAAACATTTCAGATAATGGGCTACAAGCCTTTAAAGGTAAAGACCAGTATTGGAAACGCCCCAATTTCAAAAAATGAAATGGAAGCTCTCATTACCAATCATGTGAAAGAATATGTTTTGATTAATACATGATGATAAAAAAAATGTCGGGATACCGCCTACTAATTCATATATTTGGTAAATTTGTTTCTCTCATGGTCTGTGAGAGATATAGGGTAGTCCCATATACATCTTTCTGTGTATAGTGCTTGTAACTTTATGTAGAATGGGCCAAATTTCTTATTATTTTGATGATTCCAGAACCTTGCAGATACTAGATGCTACACCCACAACAAAAAGTGAGTCACCCTTACTCAAATTGATGAGTCACTGGTTTGTCCGTACAGCGAAACACTTGAAGGATCATGTGAGTCACTATGACTCGATACAAATGAGTCTTATTTATCTAAGAGACTCATTTGTATCGAGTCATAGTGACTCACATGATCCTTCAAGTGTTTCGCTGTACGAACAAACCAGTGACTCATCAATTTGAGTAAGGGTGACTCACTTTTTGTTGTGGGTGCATCATGACATAGACCCCCCTACTCCCTAGGCCTATCACACACATACCATACCATGCCAGAGTCACTGTCCACATTTGCAATGGAAAATATATCCTAAAATATCACATTTTAGCGATGTAATCGGTGGTCCCGCTACCCGAATCTGAAAAATCTACTTTGTACGCACTAAATTAAGCCTTAACTTGAGATTTATTTGTCACCCATACTGTCACGAAACAATCTTGAATTAATTCGTTTTACATCAAATAACAAGGATCTAGGAGTGTCGATGTATAAAACAATGATGCAAGATCATGCATGTTTTCATTCGACACGGCTTCGTGCGATACAGTAGAATCTATACACTATGAACATGACTGACAATGAGAGCGGACAAAATATACAGTTCCTCAGGTAGACAAAGGAACATCCCTTCACAGCTATTATGTAAAAAGGTGAATATGCATGTGACACCTGTTCTACACATTTTTACAGCAGTAAGGGATGTTCCTTTGTCTACCTGAGGAACTGTATATTTTGTCCGCTCTCATTGTCAGTCATTTTCATAGTGATAGTTAAGTTACACACAGCCTCATCAACTCGAGTGCGGATATCGTAAAATGAACGCATGCATCATTTGTATAATAATCAGAAGATTCAGCCCACGAATCCAGTCATAAAAATCATCGTTTAAAACCATATGAATAATTATGCGTACCAATTTTTCACTAGCTGCAGTCAAAACTCTTCTGAATCCAAGATATAAGATGGCGACGTCGCGTCGTCGATCGGGAATTCAAATATGGCTCGAGAATGCGCATTTTGGATGACGTCACGAAAGCATGCGCGCGCATGCATACAGCCTCACTTTCAAGTTGACTCACTTTTTTCTTCTAAAATGCTCTTATGTCGATCTTGACTCATTTTTTACGACCATGTGAGTCAGTCGAAGCATTTTGCAAATGCGTCAGCTCATGATTGACACACTGGTGAAATATAAATGAGACAATAGAGACTCATTGGTTGTTACTAATGAGTCAATTTACACCTGACTCACGAAAATTATGCTTAAATGTGTCAAATGACTCACTTTTTGTTGTGGGTATAGTTTGATGTTTGTGATAGTTTCACTATCGGATGGTAGATATAGGCCTATATACATCCATTAATGATTTCAATGTAAGATGGCATGCTTAACCGAAATCTTTGTACCCTGTCTGTATCAATGATATATCTCTGTCGACGAATATTTTTGACAATGGAGACATGTAAATCCAATAAAAACATATTTATGATATTACCAATGATGACATTTTTTATTTCGTATTTCATTTTTTAGAAGGCATTATGGTATGGGTTCTTAATTGACAAGAATGAATCCAAAGATGGACTGTGATGTAGATACCGGGCACGATCGGGGGGGGGGGGGAAGTAAACAAATTAAAAAGACTCAGAGAGAGAGAGAGAGAGAGAAAAAAAGAGAGGAGACGGAGGAGGAGAAGCGAAAGAGAAGCGAGAGGGAATGTGAAGTGGCAAGAAGATGAAAGGCCCTTCCACATTGAGCCTTCCCATTTCATCCACCTAATTGTTCATCCTGTGGTACAGTAGACTTTTTCTTTCCGGTTTGATATTGGTTAAGCCCTTATTCAATGTTAATATCAGCTCCTTTACATGCACATAAATATACGTATATATATATATATATATATATATATATATATATATAGGAGTTGGAAGGTTACACTTTATTGGTACGAGTTATACAGACTCCTATATCTACATTTGCTCCTACAGTTGAGCACTGTCAGAAACTGCAGTTTTACTAAACTTGCTTATATATATATATATATATATATATATCGAGGGGTCAGTGACACAAGGACGTAAATCCATTTTGGCCATTTTGAGAAAAAGTGGTAATGTGTCACTGAGCACTTGGGCCTTAAGGAGTTAAGTCTATGTTTCACTAGCCATTGACTTTAATGGGGTGTTGGGTGGATTTTAGTCTTTGTGTTTCTTGGAAAGCCCACATTTTTCTGAAAATTGTGATATCAAATACTCATTTTGGCAAAATATGGAGTTACGTCTTTGTGTCACTAAACCCTAGATATGTACTTTCTTTCATAAGCTCTAAAGGTCCGCGGTTCGAGTCTCGCCGCGGCACTAATCCTTTGGCAAGACATTGATCTACATTTTCCACTCTCCATCCAGGTGCAAATGGGTACCTGATCTGCTTGAGCTCTAATTACTTTGGCAGCTCAGCTACAACCAGGGTAATATGTGTAAAGCTCCATGAGCATCAGAGCCTGGCGGATACCGGCGCTATATAAATATCCATTTTTTAATTATTATTATTTATTTATTTGTTACAGTTGAGATGCAAATGAATGTGCAAAAAGAAACCATGAGGTTGCAAGCATGCATAATCCCATGGGACCCAGGCAGTTTCCCCACAGCCAAGCATGGAGTATGTTTCTCGCTCTCTGCAGGTTAGAGCCACGCTTTGCCTTAGTCGCACAGACCACCCGACAATATAAATAATCTCATCTTATCATAAACGTGTATCCCTGCATTTTTTTAAGCATTGCCAGAAATATATCTTAAAAAAGATGGGTACGCTTTCATTCACAGATGGCTAGAAAGTTTCTGGTGGGGGGGGGGGGGGGAGGGGTAATTCGCCTTTACCCATCCATGATAACTGCTTTAAACTTTGTTAGTAGCATTATCGCCCATATCCTCAACGTCTTGCTGAATAGAGTACCGAGGTGCTAACGTCGTATTTGCTCCTCGTCTCGGCTATTGGTTCCTATAACAACAGAGCCTTCGCATGAACACCTTTAAATACATGTTCAAACAATCTTGCATTATCAATTCCCAATGAGGTAAAATGATAAAAGGAATTTTGTTTAGTGTATGTTTTCTTAGCAAATTGAATGTAGGACGATATAATGCTTTTCAAACTTAAAGAGTGAATTCATATATTGTATTATCAAATATAAATACATTTGTATTCTAATGTTTTTTAAGAATGTACATTCAATTGCTATACTAGATTACATGCAATAATTATTCATATTATCCAGTATCCTGTATTATATTTTGTTGTTGTAAATATGTATATAACAATTGAACTCTCAAAGTATATGTTGCCTTTTTTCAAGGTCTAGGCTAATACTTACCGAAATATGCTAAAAGTTACTTTCATCGGATTCAAAAACTAATTACTGTCTATGCTATAATGTTAAATTAAAATATTATAATTATGCAACAAAGTTTTCTTGAACGAAAAGCAAAGCAAAACAAAACAAACAAACCATTATTTTATTATGAGGATACCAAATTCTTTGTATATATGTTTATACATGTTTTATCTTATTGTTTATTGCTAATGTGACTTTATGTTTAAGATGTTGTTATTAATATTATTATCATATATATATTTGTTAAACTATAATGTACCTCATTATGTTTAAAAGTGCCTCATGGGAGACCACCATTATCGGTGATAATGGGTCACCATGTATAAATAAATAAATACATTTCACCGC